ATTCAATGCCACATTCAAACGAAGATGAATGCGCACGGAAGACTTCCATGCTGGCCAGGCCAGAGCGGAGGCCTTCCAAAAAGACGGTCACTGTGACCGCGTCCGGTAGATCTGCTGCCATCCCGGCAATGAGAGTGCGCATCTCTTGGACAAAATCCACCGACTCCTTGTTGCCCTGTCGGGTGGCAAGGAAGCGCAATCGTACGCGAAATGCCTGATTAGGCGGCGAAAACACTTATGAGAACTGCAATTTCAGCTCCGCCCAGGAGGGAAACACAGCTTCGACGGAAGTGCCGCACGTCAGTGCCCATTCTCGCGCTTGACCACCGAGCTTTGAGATGGCTGGCGCTACGCACTGTTGCTCGGTCTGGAGCATGGCGAATGCGATGGCCATCTCGACCTCTCTCACCCAGAGCAGAAGATTCTCTCCATCCCCCCCCCTCAAATACCTTAACGCTCACCATGAGCGGCTTAGAGCGGAAAAAGTCATTCGTCACCGACGGTTGTGTCTTAGACGCAAATGATGCAGACATCTTATGCTGCAGGTGCTCTAGCAGTGCGCTTTCGTGACTTGAAAACGCCTCTAGATTCGCACCGATTGCCTCGGGACCTTGCGCTGCAAGGTGTTGCACGCCCTCAGGGCCAAGCAATGACATCAGCAGCTTGTAAAGCCCGTCCTGCATACCCTGGAGCAAAAATAAAAATTTCTCCATCCTCACAAAGGATCGATCTAAACGAATCAGGTGTAGATAAACTACAAGTGCTACCAAGTGCAGCGGGGCTGCCGTAGCTTAGCGCTTGAAAAAGCGTAATTTAGGTCACCGACCTTTTGTTCTATACTTAGAACAAGTACGAATTAGCGGGTCGCAATCCGCTTACTCCAAGAGTAATTACTGCCTTCCCAAGGCTAATTGACTCTTTGGTTTCAAATCCAACTAATTTTTATTTATATTTATCCTGAATTTAAAAGTTTAGATTTTCCTCAATATACTAAATATATATAGTACAATCCAAATACTTGCATTACTTCTGGCTACCTAGCCCCGTACCGTATTTTCGTTTGGGTGTGGTCACACCATGCACATCTCGTGTGACACACACACCTGTTACCGGGGTACGTGTAACCCCGTTACAGGCCGTCTCCCTCCATTCCACCAAACAATGCTTGCTTTAGCAAGAAGAAGCAACAATGAATGTCTTTGGACGTGCCCGCATGGCTCTTGAGCAACTGAATGAGCTGCAGCCATCGCGACCAATGATCGAAGAATATAATCAAACCGAGGAATTCTACAATAATAACTTCATAGTGTCCCAAGTCAAGACTCGGCATCAGTTCCCTTACCGGAAGCCATGTGAATATCTATTTCTCATCTACCAGAACCTTCACAGGCCAAGAAGATTTTTACGGTCCACCTCATCTCTACACACGTTGAATATTTTGTGCTCTGGAACTGTGTTGATAGGCAAAACGAAATCTAATTGCAGAACTCATGCCAGTATCCAGCTCGTTAAAAATAAGCTGGCTTGACCCAGAGAGCCGAAACAGCCCATCTGCATGAGCACGAATTGCAGAAACGAAATCACGTCATGGATATAGAATTCAGATTGTCAAAGGCAGCCCGCCGCATCGCGGCGAAGCTAATATACTTTGTACGTGCGGGTCTACTGCTCAACAATATATCAAGACAAGTGCTTGGAAGGCGACATTGCTTACTAAGCACTCGTATCACCGCTATCCAGTTGTTCTTTCTGACAGCTACCATCCAAGTTTGGAACAAAGCTTTATTCCAGAGGCTAGATGGTGTACTGCGCCGAGCGACCCTATCTCTTCTCGTGAGGCGATGAAAATAAAGGTACGCTACGTATTTAGTGCCAACGGCGCTGGGACAATGTTTGTAACGGAGTCTCGCGTGTCCTTGTAATAAAGGGCGGGTCGCACAAGATTGCGTGACCGTACAAAGGTGTGTATTACACAGTTAGTAAAGTAACACAGTGGTGTGACTAAAACGTAACAAGAAGCCACCACGTGGCAGGATTGCCAGTAGTAATGCATATTACTTTATTAATTAGGGTTTGCTATATTAATAATGTATTAGTTAGGAAAACCTAGGATTTGAGATATTGGCTGCTCTGCCGTTTCGTTTTTGAACAGAAGTGTTCGTTTACTCTGGTAAGGCTTTAGTGCTTACAAGTAGCAGATGCGATCCTCTACACTAGTACTGATTCTTGGAGGGAACGTAAGGACGGTGACCTGAGCTTAGATTTCTCTAAGCAACGAGCTATGACGGCCCCACTGCGCTTGGTAGCACTCGTAGTCAATCTACGCCTGAGTCGTTACAACTGATTCTCTGTGAGGATGAAGTATAACTACTTTTTGCCCCAGGGCATGGAGGACGGGCTGAAGAAGTTAGAGCCCCCTGCTGGGCCCTGAGGGCGTGCAGAACCTCGTTGCGCAATGCCTCGAGGCCATAAGCGCGCCTAGAGGCATTTTCAAACTATAAAAATACTATGCTAGAAACTTACAGCAGAAGCTGTCAGCGTCGCCTGCGACTTTGACGGCACTGTCGACGACGGATGATTTCTTTCGACCCAGGCCGCTCAATAGTGGGCGTTAAGACCTTTTAGGTTAAGGATGGAGAGAATCTCTTGCTCAAAATAAGAGGAGACGAGATGGCCATGACATCCGCCATGCTCCAAAACGGGCAACAGCGCGTGGCACTAGCTATCTCCAAGCTCGGAGGTCGAGCGCGAGAATGGGCACTAACGTGCGGTGCTTCGGTTGAAACTGCATTCCCCTCCTGGAAGGAGCAGAAGCGTCAGCTTCTGAAAGTGTTCTCGCCGCCTAATCAGGCATATCGCGTGAGATCGCGTTTTCTTGCTGCTTAAAAGGGCAAAAGGAGTTGGTGGCCTTTGTCCAACAAATGAGAACTCTTATTGCCGGAATGGGAGTCGATCCTCTCCTAGAGGCAGTCGCAGTGACCGTATTGATGGAGGGCCTCGCACTGGCGTGGTTAGTATGAAAGTCTTCCGTGTGTATCCGTCTTCTTTGAAAAAGTGGTGAACGTGGCATTGAAAGCCGACTTCAACTCTTAAACGGCACAACTTGGTTGTAACGCCCACCCTCAAAGCTCGTTTAGCGGGCATGAGCCAATGGATCTCAGCTATGCTGAGAAAGAGGAGGAAGATCTCCGAGCTGCTGAGCAGCGTGTAAACACCCGGCGGTGTCTTGTTTGTGGAGACACCCGTCCCTTCGGGCTGGATGTCTCCTGCGCTAGGCGCGTACAGGTTCGTCGAACCGACGTCCCGCTTCTAACTAGTCCGGTTTGACGCGGAGAGACGAGAGCACCCAGTATGCACGGGGCGCCTTACTGGGTGTGAACTGAGTTCTGTTGAGTCTCAAAGAGGGAGAGGGCATCACGGCCCGGCCCCGAAAAGCTCCGTACGAAAGTGTGTACAAGCCGGATTTGCTGGTCGTAAAAGCAACCATGAAGGGCTTTGAAAAGCCATAGAGAATTCTTATCGATTCTGGTGCGTCGGGCTATCATGCTGGACGCAGTGGGCTATGTGCCACTTTGCGTTCAGCACGCGAGCCACGCTCTGAACTCTTGTCTAAAACACGTTTGGTGTTTAAAAATCGGATACTCCGTTATCCAGCACATTGAACGTCCCGGTCCAGTGCTCTCGCTAATAGCGATTCTGCTTTCTAGCAGAGCATGGTTTATTACTCGCCAAAGCTCCACCAGGAATCAAGGTCTTCGACCTCGAATCAATCCATGGCTCGTGGTGCTCCAACCAAGTCATACCAAGGATAAGGTTATACCTTGCAACAAGTCTAAGACTAGACAGTGTTTCACGCAAGTAAAGTCAAGGAACTTATCACCGAGGCCCACAGGGACCTTCGGCACAGTGACACAAGACCCGTCGCTGAGCGAACAGCGACGGTGTCACTCAGCCGCACTTCCAGCGCGTCAGCATACAGCTGCCTTCCTTCGATTGTGGAGAATCGTTGCATGCCAAGAGTGGCATGGTAGGCCAAGGGCCGAGGCATCAAGGGCGAGATTCTTGTGATGTGCGCGGAGTGGTACGTGACCCACTGAGCACTGCTCACGTTACGAAGCAGTTGCTGCGCGCAAGAATGGCATAATCGGACGAGGTCCGAGGCATCAAAAGCGAGGCTCCTGTGATGCGCGTGGGGTGGTACGTAATTAATGAGCACTGCTCACGTTTCAAAGCAATTGCTTCCTGCCAAGAGTGGCATGATAAGACGATGTCCGAGGCATCTTGGGCAAGGCCCTTCTGATGCGCGCGGGGTGCCACGTTATCCACTGGACGAAGACTGCGGAAATTGCAGTTCTTCGTCGGATGATGTTAATAGCATCAAGGCTCCGATGGAGCAGGCAGTGGGGCATTGGACAACGCTGAGTACAGGTCTCGATGAGACGTAAACCCTCTAAAGAGAGGAGACAGCAAAGCCGTATGCTATCTGTAAGACACAGGGCGTCGACCCTGACCCAGGGTGTGTGGACCGTAGGCGAGAGCGCACAGCTATATGCCCTTGTCAACGGTATATCGGGAGAGGGAGATGGCGACGTCACCCTCGAGGTTATTCCCGCGGTTGCTGCTCTTTTCGAGCTTGACACGATTACCTTTCAACGAGTTTTGCGGTGCCTTCAAGGCAGGCAGCTTAGTCGAGCTGGTCATTGTAAGACCCAACGAGGAGATTAACTCGTCGTCGCTTCTGGATGAAGCTACAAAAAGAAGGTACTGCATACACGAAGTGGTTTGTCAATCCTGAAGGATCCTTCGGAGCCATAATATCCTTTGATAAATGAATTCCACGGCGCCATTCACAAAGACGCGCCGTCGGTCCTACCTAGGGAACGATGTGTGCATCATGAGATTGACCTGGTTCCGGGAGCCAAATACTGCGTCACACGCCAATGGCCCCTGCCTAAGGAGCAGTGTGACGTCATTAACCTTTTTCGTGCGAAGCACGAGGCAGGATTTGTGCGTGAGCGCATGTCTCCCCATTCGACATCCACGTTTTGTGTCCGGAAGCCGAACGGCAAGTGGTGTATCGCTCACTCTTACAATTAGCTCAACGCTGCCAGCATTCCGGCTCAAACGCCAATTACTAGGAAGGATGTTCTCCAGAACAATATGGTTGGCTGTTTAAAGTACAGCGCACTCGACTTGGTCGATGATCATTACCAATCGCTCAGGAGATCGAGTGATAGGAGCATCCCGTTTGGAGTACTAACCGCTGCTCTAGGAGGGGTTGGTGATGCCCTAAGAGCTGTCAAACTTGCCAAAGCTGAGGACGCTAAGGACTCGATTGAAAGCCTTGCACCAGCAACATTTAATCGTCTTATGACGCAATTATTTGGGCCCCATCGGGCGTATGCACAGACATATTTCGATGACATCTTCGTCCACAGTCGTGAGGGACACGGGAGGACAGATGAAGAAACCCATATCGTTAAATCGTCCATTCAAGAGCGGTGCTCGAGCGCATGCGCATTCATAAGCTGTATGCTAATGCCGATGAGTGCATCTTCGGCGCGGAGGAAATAACCAAAATAGGGTTCTTCATTGAGAAGCGAGGCCTTCGAGCGGACTCCGGGAAGCTCAAGGCCATTTTGGACTGGCTGATTGCAAGGAACCAGCACAAGTATAGCGCAAATTATGCGAAAATGACACGGCGATAGTCAAATCTCCTTAAGAGAGATAAGGAATGGTGTTTGGATACCGAGCATCAGGAGGATTTTGACAGGGTCGAAGACAGTTTCCTTCATGCACCAATACTGGCGTTGCCAGACCCCAATTGTCCTTTTAGTGTCGTCTGCGACGCTTCGGACTGTGCCATCGGCTGTGCACTGCTAGAAGCAGACACCGAGGGGCGAGATCGGGTGATGCGTTCGAATCTCGCCAGCTTTAGGCTGCGGAGAGGAAACACTCCCCGACAGGAATCACTTGCGATAAAGTATGCACTTTTCAGGTTCAGGGTGCACCTGCTTGGCTGAAAGCCGTTTGTGATTTACACAGATCATGCGTCACTACGCACTGCGACTCAGTCGCCTCGCCTCTCGCAAAGGAAGGACAGGTGGCTCTCCTTTTTTGCAAAATAAAACTTCGAGGTGATGTACAAGCTAAGAAAGCAGCATGCTTTGGCTGATGCGTTGTCACGCAGAACGGGTTACAAGCTTGCCCATGTCACGACGGTGACGTCGCCAGTGATGTATTTGATTTGCGCCGCATACGCGGGTGACAGTATATGTAGCGCTGCTACAGACATTCGGGGGCAAGGGGTCTGGAAACTCGAACAAGAAGTTGTCAGCGCGTTTGCGCGCGCGTTTACACCGATTTTCATCAAGTAATGCGTTGCTGTATTATAGCACCGATCCAACGGATTTGCATCGAATTGTGGCTCCTCGCGATGAGGATTTGAAGTACCGTGTCCTTTATGAGGCCCACGACACTCCACATAGCGGTCATCTCGGTCGTGATATGACCACTAAGTGAGTTGCCACTATTGGTGGCCCAATCAGTACAAGTGGACGAGCGCATATGTGTGCATGTGTGAGACGTATTAGCGTTAAAACCCTTTCCGAATGTGGTGGCGCCGCTGGCAAGTTTACCGGTACCCTCCGGGTATTGGCAGTCCATTTGTATGGACGTCGTGTTTGGCCTGACTCGGCGGGCAACACGGGTGTGGTAGTCTTTGTGGACCGTTTGAGCAACATGGCTCATCTTGCGGCATGGCTATACACCATCGATGGTGCGGGTGTAGCGGCGTTGTTTGTCGATCTATCTTTCGACAACATAGAATCCCTCAGTCAATTGTCTCTGATAGAGACCTACTTATCACCGGGAAGTTTTGGTCTACAGTCTAAAGGGTGCTAGGCACCTAGTTGACTATGTCAACAGCGGACTACCCGGAGACCGATGGACAAACTGAGCGCGTGAGTCGAGTCGTCGTGGACGCCCTTCGCAGCGCGCTGAGACGCCGAAGCGCTGGAGTGCTATATTGCTACTCGTAGAGGTTGATCTGAACAATGCAGTGCATTTATCGACTAATTATCCGCCATTCTACGTGGACGGGCTTCTTTATCCTCGCGTCCCGCTGACGCCACCGTCCCTTTGCCTCAGGGCTTGGTGGGGAGGACTAGCCGAACGGCTAGCCCCCTCACCGTGCGGAAAGAAGTCGGAGACTTCCTGTCTACTAGACTGGGTGTCTTACGACACGTTCGCGATGCAATGACTGAAAGCCAAGACAAACAGAAGGAATACATAGACGGAAAGGAAGAAGAAATGTTAAAAACATTGAGGTCGGAGACTTGGTTTTATTAAATACTAAAAACCTCCCTACACATGTGGTTTCTGTTGTCTGTAAGACGAAGCTCGTCCACGATTTATTGAGTCCTCTAAGGTCGTAGCCAAGCGAGGCCTTACATTTACGCTGAGCCTTCCAAAAGAGACGCGCACCCACCCGGTGTTTCGTGTGGGCTTGTTTAGGTCGCACCGGGATCCGGCGCAAGTGAACGCGGAGGCGTTGGCGCCGGGGCGTCGCCCAAAGGCGCTCGGCCACTCAAAAGATGAACTAGCAAGCACATAGTGCATTAACTTCCGCTTCCAACAGCGCAAGGCGCTCCACCGTTGCGCGAAGTAACGTCTAATGCTTACATAGATTGAGTTGTTTGAAATTAAGCTTATGACAATGATGTTTAGTTTATCTCTGTCTACTATCTTTTTATAATAATCCCTTGTATAATACATTGTGTGAGATTCGCACCTATGTGTCCTACGGACCTCGCCGTTGCGGAATGCCGTCAGTTCATTTGATACCACACTCGAAGCCTAAGGCAAAAAGCCACAAGAAATCGAAACGGCATGATAGAGATGAAGTACACGAAAAAGTGCGTGGTCTTTGGACTGTTTGGGAGGTAGAACACTCCTGTCGCTCGTAATGAATCCAGACGTGGATAATATGTAAACTATCTTATACATTTTCGTGACATTTGGTCACCTTAATCGCAGCAACAGTTGACATCATTGAACTTATTGCGTCGTTACAAACGAGTCGCTCATTCTGTACCTTTCCTTGTGCTTAGACGGTCGAAAAAGAAAGTCTTGTCCAAGCAATACCGTGCAGCTATCGAGTGTAATTGTTGTCCGAAATAAGTACTAGAGCATGGAGTGCCTTCAGCAAAATATATCATGGTGGTGTCTTTTTACAAATTGTATTAATGAGAAAATCGTAATCCGCTTTTCAAGTTGCAGTCTGATATTAGCCAATAAGATTGCTACAAACGATTATTTTTTACAATGTTCAATATCCACATGAATTCTTAAACGGCTCATGTTTTTGATATTTTAATTGAAGTACGATACAAATGCAGAAGTGGAGATTCAGGTGCATCACGGACATCTCCTTCAACTTCCTCAACAGCAATATTATCCCTACAATAGTCCAATTTTTATCACAAAATGCTCAGCCAGCAGCCAGCACTACGAACACGACGATTCGCAGAGAATAGTACTGAGCGAATGTCATATACTTCTCGATAAATAAAGACTTGATTTTGCCACAGCCTGAATTTCGCGTTTTACGACTCGTTAGGACTTTCATCGATGTCCGATTGCAACGCCATGGTCGAGGCTAATATCTGGTCTCGCTTGAGCTGCTCATAGTGTTGCATTGCTGCATATTGATCCTGGCCCGCCGCCACTTCAAGTGCAAGCATCAGGTCCGAGTCATGTTCTGTCGAAAATCGAATGCCACTGCGCAATATTGATGGGACACCGAGTGGCAACGCCGTTGGAAATAGTTCAGAATACACAAATTTACGCAGTGGCGTCTGTTTGACAGAAACCGCTGCCGAGTATAGCTCTACTGACCGCTTTATGTCCTCCTCCGTATATTTCGATTTCTCGCGCTTATCCAAAAATTCGTAAATACGTGCCACCAAATCCGTTGCGTAGGAGCCCAGATCTTCCACTTCATTTGACGCGAGATGCCACAATTCATCGCCTTCCGAGCAATTGAATACTGTGCGGCAAATTGGACAAGTCTCACTCTGTGTGCTCCAGTGCTGAAAACAATTCAGACAGAAACTATGAGCACAAGGCAGTACAACCTGCTTCTTCTTGTCCATGCAAATTTGGCACTCGGTTTCATCAAATTCAGTCTCGCAAGTACTAAAAGATCAAAAGTTCACAAGTCATAACACATAATTAGTTCCTATAGTCAGATTTAATCTAAACGTGTCCAGTTTACCTAGTCGTCTTCTCAGAGAAACGTACGGTATGTGCAGCACAGGCCTTAACATCAGAAAGGAAGCAGTAGATATAATAAAACTGAGCAATCGTCAGCGTCTTGGCCTGACCGATCGTCTCAAGGTAATCTTGTGCGTACGATGGGTCGCGTGGGATTTCGACGCGAAAGTCAGCCAGATTCGCTTGCCTTTCCACAGTTCTCCGCATCTTGCGTACCTCGACGGCCACATTGCCACGAATTCGCCACAGATACGGTAAAAGCTCTGCTGATACTTCCGGATTTATTACAATGCGAAACGACAAATAGCAGTTTTTAGGGGTTGCGCAGATTTGAGCCCTGTTACGTGTAGAGAAAACACGTGAGTAGATTCTTTTCGGCTTACAGTGACACGACGTACCACTCGTTGGCATTTTTTAAATGCGTACCAAAGTCCATAAATGTGCCCATAGTCTGCCGAATACGTTTCTTCATTTTGTCTTCTTGTATCGACGTGGTTTGCCCCATTTATCAGAATTTGCCTTGCACTTTACAAAGAAAATAGTAAAATGGCTCCATTTTTATCTGTTGATTCGGTATTTTGTTATATAGCTGCGGAGTTTACGCTTACTATGTTGCGGGGTAGCTTATCAATGTTAATTTGCACTATCTTAAATAATTAAAGCGGCCTTTTTGTCAGTGAATAGGGAAGTAATTTCTTCGACAACATCACCATGAATGTTCTCCAAGCACAAAACTTTACGTTAAAACGTGGTGACAGTTGTAGGGTATGGCAGTGCACGACCACTTGTTTGTGCCAAGCGACTGAAAGATTAAACCGTGTAATTGATGCGCCAGAGAATACACGCATGTCAAGTACCACACTACGTGCCAGTTGTATGGAGCCACGTTTCAATAATGCAAATCAGCTCGCTGTGCCGTAATTTCGTGCCTTCACCCAATTATCAAAGAGCAACACATCAATCTGGTTGTAAATATGTATGTCAGTGTGTAACACATGTCAAGACGTACAAATCAACAAATTGCTATAAAACCACCTGTGGCCGTTGCAACCCTACAAGATCCAAAACCCGTCATTATACCGGTACAAAAAGGCACGATAACAATGGTCAGTGACGATGAGCTTGCAAACACTGTTGAGCTACAGCCGAAGCGGACGACATCATTCACTGCACGCCAAGAGGAAAGTTTATCGGATTGTTATTGTCGTCAAACAGGCGGCAAAATTGCTGTCTGCAAATTCACTAATTGCAATTTCGAGCTATAGATGCAACATGACCTCGAGACGCGTATCCTTTTAGAACGGGAAAAGACCAAATACTGGGCGCGAATTTTGCTATTGTTTCCTCTCTTACCCGTGTGCCTCGCACTCACAACGATTGTCTTCGGTGGCGTAATCATAAATGTAGCCACTAACAATTGTAATGCTGATCTCATGAGTGCGTCTGCTTTTATACTTCCATGCTACCGTGCATGTCATGTGCTAATTGAATATCCACTAACATTACGGCAAAGGATTTTTGCAGGGCGCGGTGGTGCTTAGCCACGTGCTCGTGTGCTTCTACACATATTGCTGGATGGGGCCGTGGCCAATTAAAAGCCTGCGCACCGTGCGGGTCTTTTACTTCATCTACGGTGTTGTATGTGTGCTATGGTGGGGACTTTACGGAACAATGCAGGCGGTCACGGCCACCAGCTCAGGCTTTGAATCATGTTTATCTATGTCGCCAACGCTGTATATCTTCTCACAGTATGAAGTTGTTGTCTTTTGGATCGCATTCATCCCAGCTGTTGCTTTTTTTGTAAATGAGACCACAGCACGCTTACGACAAAACAAACTTATTGAATGGACACAGACGAAGAAGACAGTCAATCGCGTCAAACAACAACAGAAAGACTCTCATGACCGCATATTAAAAGATACGTATGAGGAAGCGCAAAACTTTGAAGAACAGCACGAAACGAGTTTAGCTAGCGAAGAGCAAGCCTACGGTAGTGAGAACGAGGAAGATGCTGAAGAACGGAATGAGAATGTTGAATATATTAATGAAATCAACAAATAGCAACAACGATGACGAGGAAGTTTCTCAAGAAAGCTATCAACTTCAATATTACGTACTTTACCGGAATTATCTTCGTAATGAATACGGGGTAGGTATGCCAGCATACCTATGACATTAAATAGGTTAGTACGCTGAACGAAAGAAGCAAACTAGGCACGAAGCAGACATTAAGCAGTATGAGCAGTGCCAATGGGCAGACAATTACAGTGTGTGGCAATGTCCTTCGGTACGTAAAGTAGTGACGTCTTTGGTGTCGTAATGGGTTGCTTTGAAATTAGACGTTAGAGGCTAAATGGCCATATTTGATACTCGTGTCTGCGCAGCTTAGTAGAGACAATTGGCCGCGGCTCTTACGGCACTGTACGGCATAAATGTTATTCATCAATCGCTTGTAGATTTTTAATTACTCGTGTACGTTGGGTGAATGATATAGGTACACAAAGCCATTAATTTGTCTTCTGGAGCACCTGTAGCCGTTAAAATGATCGGCAAGGACAAATTGCGGCGGCCACATGAGCGTCAAAGCATCGAAAAAGAAATTGAAACCATGCGTGTGGCCGTGGAACAGTTTGAAAATGGACACCCACACATTGTGCGTCTACTTTGTACGAAGGAATCGCAGCAACATATTTTCATCGTGCAGGTCAGCTACCTTATCTTTATGAAAAAAACGTTGAAAGTTGGAGAAATTACATCTATATGTCCGTAATCTCATGTTGCTGTAGGAATATTGTGCTGGTGGGGATATTGCGGAGCTTATGAAGGCAAATAATGGCTTGACGGAGAATCAAGCAAAACTCTATATGTCGCAATTGGGTGCGTAGTTATAGAACAAGAGATTATGTGCTCTAAAAGCAAGCGATTGATAAACTGATGTGAATGCAGCGTCGGGGTTACAGTTTCTTCGTTCGCAAAATGTGGTGCATCGTGACTTGAAACCTGCCAACTTATTGTTATCGTCACGGAATTCTGCTACTGCTAAGTTAAAAATTGGTGCGTGATCTGAATTGTTGCTTTAAAATTGGAGGATATGTGCTGATCGTTGACTATTGGTCAACCTTCTTGTAGCGGATTTTGGATTTGCACGTGAGTTACAGTCTGAGATGATGGCTGAAAGTGTCGTAGGCTCGCCACTCTATATGGCTCCGGAGCTCTTGGAGTACAAATGCTACGATGCAAAAGCTGATTTGTGGTCAGTTGGTATCATTTTGTACGAGATGCTGGCAAACGAGCACCCATTCTTAGTTGTAGACAAGGTTCACGCAACAAATCACCTCGCATTGCGGCGAAATATCTATCGCTACTTTGAGTGCTTTGGCCGCGTTCGCCTGCCAAAGAAGGTGAAGGTATCGCCTGCTTGCGAACAGTTAGTGGAAGGTCTCTTGCGGGTTGACCCACGCAAGCGCATTTCATTTGAAGATTATTTTCGTGCTGAGTTTTTGCTGCCACCTGCTCCGTCGGACGCTGACGCTTGTGTAGACAAAGCAAGTCTGGATAGCTCTGAGACGAAGCAACCTCTTGTCGCAGAAAAACAATCCGAATATGGTACGTCCTTGATTTTGTATTAATCAAATTGATGTATTTCATTGTTTACGGTCGTGCTGTAGAGGAGTGGGCCACCTTTAGTGACGAGTATGTGATGGTGGAGAACGAGTATGAAGACGTCGGTCGGAAAATCCTTGGCGGTCAGGACCTGAATGTTGATTTGGATGACAAGGTAAACAATTCATTACACTTAAAAAATAGACAAGTTGAAGCTAATGTGGTGCTGTAATGTGCTGTGACTGGTTAGATAAAGCATCATACGAAAGAGCACAGTTTTTCTGCTGGCACAACCTCGACCATTATTGACGGTGGTATTGAAATTAAGGACGTCGTTATTGATACGGCGTCTCCTCGACACGAACCAGTGGATTCTATTGCTCGGAATGAAAGTGATGTGAAATCGAATATATCGGTCCACGAAGTGCTTCCAGTTGCTAAAAATGATCATCGCCTTGTCGATGAACGCCGTAACTGGATTACTGACGATAATCGTCTTGAGGAACTGTTGGGTATTTGCTACAAGAGCTTCTCATGCGGAAGCGTGGCTTTGTTTGTGCCCACACCATTTGGTGACTACATTGCTTTTCACGAAGGATGTCCACACTACTACTTGTCGGAAGAAAGCATTGCTGCATCCAAGAAAGACAACAGGTACGTTGCGCAGAATTTCGTGACATCGAGCTAGAGCGCTTACTCAAAAGCTTTGTATATATGGCGCAGAAATCCTCCGTATGTTCTCGGCCACATTGTCTACGTTGAAGATCATGAAACAACTGAAGTGAGATCGTGAGAATCTTCAAACTTTGTCTGGTTTGTCCTGACCAGTTTTTAAAATCGATTGTTTGCACAGAGAACGAATCCATACTGTCTTCGCGAAGGAACTAAGTATCATGTAGTGTCTGTAGCTCCACTAGTATCTTCAAATCACGAAGCAAATGGTAGTGTGGAAACCGCAGATAGTTCATCTGCTTCGGAAGAGTTGCCGCTTTCACAAGTACTGACTGGGCGCACCGTAGCAAGTGATGTAAACGAGAATGGTTTGCACCATGCTACTAGTGACCAAGTTTCTGCCGAGAATTGTCAAGGATCGAACGAGCACCAGCGAATATCATTTCGTAGTTTTCAGATCAGCTCACTGGCGCTGTTTTTTCTCAAGGGAGGAAAGCTGCCGTATGTGGCATTCAATGAAGGCGCTCCAAACTACTACCTTGCTAACGAGTCCATTCAAGCTGCAGTTTTGGGTGTTGGAAGCGACCGCACACCACCCGCTTACATCTGTGGAGAGATTATCTTCATTGATACTTTCCAGGCGACCGAGGTATGTCTGAATGCAGTTCATTTTTTAAGCAAATGTTTCAAATATTAATTGAGATTGGTTTCTAACTAGGATTTCAATCCATATCGCCTGCCATATGGAACACGATTTCATGTTGTGACGGTCGCTAACCCAAAAAGAACTTAGTTCCGTAAATGCAGTAATTTGTATTGAAGTGCATAAATCATTATAAGTAAAAGTGGTATAAATGATCAAAGGTTGATGATATCGCAGCCATTGCAATGCTTTGCCTTCGTCACAAACAAATACAGAAAATCTATTTCATGGTGTGCACTCTCAAGACCATGTGCAAATAGTCGTGTAGGAAAATGTCATTGAGAATGCCAAGTTGATAACAAAAAAAAGGAATAAAAGTCAAGATATTTAAATGGCCAACGGCGTAACGTTAGAGAAAGAGATGTTGTTTAGAATAAGGAATGTTTGTAGACTACGTTGGTAGCCAGAAAAGTTTTATCGTCAAACTTTTATGACTTGATAGATTGCTGTGCTTCATTTCAATCAAATTCACATTGAAGCCTAGTACCTTTTCTTACCGCTTGCTGAAACAATGCACACACAAAGTTCATAGCTTCTATATTAACTATGAGATATAATGGCGTGACTCTGATCAGCGTTTGCCAATACCAATTAATAGATGAAGATGTAAATTAGGATTGTACGTCTGGAACATCCCTAGTTAGTCAAATCTTAGTGCACACATCAAGCTTATTTGTATGTGGCCAAGGCCAAGTACTAACTCATAACTGGTCGGATAACTAATAACCTTGACTAACTCCTAGATATTTGTTTTCACCACATTTATTAGTTATCCGAGGGACGACTGTATAATAATAATATTTTATTAAATTTACGCATGAGACGAAAGGTGAAATCGCGACGCCAGCAAACTGCTTCCAATATTTCGGGATAATGCGATGATAAATACATGCTGGGATTTCCTGTGGAGCCTTTGAATGCTACCATTTATTTCGTCAACGGACGATAAAGCTGGGTACCCGAGAGGATTGTACGAATACATACAAGCTAGCACACGTATCAAATGCAAACTTCACTAGGTCGAAAAACTTTGCGCATTTAGAGCTCTTGCTCAAAATCTGCTTATACTTGCATTGGGTAGAGCAATACTAGCAGATCAAGCTGAAACAAAGTACTTGAGATGTAGGCTAAAGCCGAAGAGGACAAGTAATATTTTGTACACTTCTCTCCGATCGGTAATAAATACATTGTCAAATCTACAGCAGTATTAAAGTAATAGCGCCACCAAAGGTACGATCGGGTTCAAAAACAAGAATTACCGGCAAAAATCGTCGCGACGTTATACGCTTATCTGAATGAGATGACAGGCTGGGAGCAAGCGGTGCCACAAAAATCAACTTCGCCCCAATCTAACTATGGATTGACAAAATATGTGCAAATATAATGGGTTACACAAAAATGTACCTTCTGAATGCATTGTGAAAATTTATAGAAGAAGATTACAGTATGTTGCCCCCAAATACATACGTGACCTCTTATCTAAAGTCACACACATTGTGTGAGATACAGAATTCCTTTTTGGGATCTGTATCGGTGAGAAGTCCGACATTTCTCTATCTTTCCAAGTGGGTGGCGTAGGCCAGTTCAGTACAGCCTTAGTTTATGAATCAGAAGCCCAAGTTTTTATAGATAAGACCTCTAGGGGCCCTTGAGGTGTTTTGCATGTAGCTACAAGCCATACATTCATTTAATTCAGCGGCAAATTTGCTTTAAAGCCTTAAATTGTTCATCTTCCCTCCAAGTGGCGACTAGCCTTCTTCTTCCACGTCGGGAATCGCTTCTCGCCGCGTCAAACTGATCGGGCTGGTCGGATCAGTTTTGCTGTAGCACGTCTGGAAGCGCCAACTCGGCGGACCAGCTTGTGTATTGTGTAAGATGGACTGATTGTGAACAGAGCCCCTTTACACCTGTAGCACTTCGAGCAATCTTTTCAACGACACTCGATTTTAGCTTGACGACGCGGCTGTTGAGCTCGTCGCACATTCCAGCCCAGACATACCATTTTCCTTGTCCGAGCGACATGAAAGGAGCTGAAGTACAACTCAGTTCATCAGTCCCGCAAAATGAGGTGCAGGGGAACGAGATGTTTCCTCAATTGCATTCACATGAGGGAGTGGCACTCGAGCAGATGCGAGAGGTCATCGGTTAACCTACCGCAGTCACTTTACTGCAGTTTCCTTCTCCAGATGATCAGCGATCGCGGCCGTCAGCTTCATGCAACTTGAGATTATGAAATCTCGAAATCAGGCTGCAACCCCTGTCTCATCGTACCGAACGATGCCTCTGAAGCTGAATTTGTATTTGTATCGGCATTAAGAGAAAGAGATTCTATCACTATGATTTGTCTAGAAATGCAGCAATGACTGCAAGACAACTGCAGCAATCTTGCATCAAGTGTTATTTGCGATGTCCAACCTTGTAGGTCGTGCGACGAGTTGAGCGTATAGTAAGCAATCATCCCATCTAATCTGCATTTTCAGCTACAAGCAATTCAAAAGTGAAGCTTCATAGGCGTTTAAACCACCACAAAGTGAGTTTGGAGCCCGTGCTAAGTTTTTGAAGCTTTGTCAAGGTTGTTACGATCCACACAGCATGCTCGCTCCTTGGTTTCGAGCATTATCGACGAGCCAATTGACGTTTCAACGCGAGTGGTAACGTTCATGGCGGGTCTGAATGATTATCCGATTCAGAATTACTATCCCAAGACGATGAACGATGCCACCGACTGTGTGATGCATGAAAAAGCCATCATCGAGCAATCAAAGCTCAATGGCTTCGTACCAAGGTAAGCGCATCGGTCGACTGATACATGTAATGACCCAGAGCCAATGGGGAACTCATACATTTCCACGCTTGGAAATGAGCGTCCTCACAACGATAAAAGTGTTTTCGTTGTGGAAAGCCGGGTCATATTGTTCGGAACTGCAGAATGTTTTTGCCGAGTCGGCAACAGAAACATAACGCTCGCTCGAATAACCGCGAACGCTAAAGAGGTTCGTCGGTATGAACGCTCCCAAGGGTAAAAGAGCATCTTTCAACATAGTATTCACGACTCTTCTTTGTCCATAGTAGTGTTTGCACCGAGTCACTTTTACCTGGAAGAAATCTGATGTCGTTGTTCATCTTGGTCATCTTCGTCAAATCGTCCAAGTCATGCGCGAAAATAAGCTCTACGAAAACCTGAAAATGTATTTTCTTTGCACCTGAGATCCCCGTTCTTGGCTGCTTTGTGGGCAAGAATGGCGCTCATTTAAATTCGGAGAAAGTCAGAGCTATCAATAATTAACCTGTGCTAAACAAGTGAAACAGCTTAGACTCTGGTTCCTGTTCAACTGTTTGCACAAATACAAACGCAGTAATGCATCGTTGGTGCAACCCGTAACGTCTTGTTCTTAAACAAAATGCTGACTGGGATGATCGAAAGATCACCAGGCAGTATTTGCCGAAGAAAAGAAGAGCTTCAGAGAAGCACTTCGCCTTGCGATTGCAAGCTACGAAATGCCTATTCATGCGGTCTGCGATGCACGTGATTATGACATCGGTTTGCCTTGATGCAACACGATGATGAGGGTCGAGAGTGAGTTGTTTCGTATCAGTCGCGTCAACTCCGGCTCGCGGAATAAAGCTTTCTTGTTCCTGACAAATAGCTTCTAGCAATGAAGTATGCTTTGGCTAATTTCCATGCGTTTCTGCTTGTAGAGGAGCGCTTTGCGCTGTTATACAAATCATGCCTCGCTGTATATGGCAGTAAAGTCGCCTCATTTAACGCAGAAAAAAGCTGGATGTTTTCTTTCTTTGTGAAGTACAACTTTGTTCGCTTCGTAAAGGCTCTCCGTAATCTGATTCCGGACGCCGCTTTGAATAACTGATCTTTTCTGAACCAACCATGACTTCTTTGAATCCGCAAGGATGGAGTTCTGAGACATTACTCAGAAACTTATGGAATTAATGGACAAGCAACAACAGCTGCTTGAGGCCATGACCAAGCGTGAGGTCAAAGTAAAAGGAATCCGCTTGCCACAAATTTTTGGCTTGATGGGAGAATCTGTGGATTTGTACTTCGAGCAATTGGCTCAGTACTTTAAAGCAAAAAATATTGA